GAGCCGGGCGAATAGTAGGCCCTGAGTAAATTTTGGTTGATGAATCGAATACTGTGTGCTAGGTAGGGAGGGGTGATGACACCAGGGTCATTAAGATAACCATGCCTCATGACCTGCCCTTTGGCCTTGTAGGTTTTATAATAGTCTGGTAGTGTTGTATGTCTCAGAACTTTGTAAAGGCAACTTCTTGGCAAGGATTTGGCTTCTCTTTCTTTAGGTCTGGTGTAATGAATGATCAAGGTCATGAAAATAGTGCCATGGTGTGAGATTCTTAATGCGCTTTTGTCAGCTATGTATCCCTTCAAATCCTCTCTTGTCTTGATGTGGTTCTCAACAGCTGCCAAGTGTGACGTTCCACACTAACATAATGCTTCAAGGGCAGAAGTACTTAAAACAGTCAAAACCTAATTCTTGGGTGGCACCTCGGGAAATAGAGCCTGGGTGGTGACCAAGGGCAACGTGAAGAAATTGTATGAGCTGTCCCTGCTCTTAACTACTTTGGGGCTTGCACCTCTGGCTGTGTCTGAAGCAGAAACTCCAACTTAGGGTGCCTTCTTAACTTTATTTCTTTTTGTCACACACAGAAAGAATGCTGACTAGACTCTCAATAGCATTAGAGCACAGTCCTGGCTTTGAAGCCTCTTCCTAACTATATGACCTTCACTTCTCTCAACCTTCGTCTTTTTTGTCCATAAAATAAGGGTAATAATAGTTACTGCCTCATAGGTTTGATGTGAGCATTAAACATAAGACATTATACCTATAATAGAGTGTTTAGCACAGTGCTTTGTGGGTAGTAAGTACTCAATACATGTTAAATTTGTTGAATGAATACTTAGGTAGCTTAAAGGGCTTTGAAGATAGAAACCACCAATGTTAAGGGATGCCTGGGTGGCTCAGTCGTTAAGCGTCTGCCTTTGGCTCAGATCATGATCCCAGGGTCCTGGGATTGAGCTCCGCATTGGGCTCCCTGCTCTGCGGGAAGCCTGCTTCTCCCTCTCCCACTCCTCCTGCTTGTGTTCCCTCTCTCTCTGTGTCTCTCTCTGCCAAATAAATAAATAAAAATCTTAAAAAAAAAAAGAAACCATCAGTGTTGTGTATTTCTTCTGTCTGCTTCCATTCACTCTTACCTTTCTTGGCTGTATAATTGGTTATTTTTGGTACTTCTTTTATCTCTTTTTTTTTTTTTTAGATTTTATTTATTTGTCAGAGAGAGCACAAGCAGGGGGAGCAGCAGGCAGAGGGAGAAGCAGGCTCCCCGCTGAGCAGGGAGCCGGACGCGATCCCAGGACCCTGGATTCATGACCTGAGCCGAAGGCAGACGCCCAACTGACTAAGCCACCCAGGCATCCCTTATCTCTCACTTTTATCTCAGGAAATCTTTATGTCCTTCAAATGGTCCTAAAAACTTCCATCAGTAGCTCATCTGCTTCTGAACTTAGTAGGAAAAAGTCAAGAATTATCTCTTCCAGGGGCAGCTGGGTGGCTCAGTCGGTTAAACATCCAACTCTTGGTCTTGGCTCAGGTCTTGATCTCAGGGTTGTGGGTTTGAGCCCTGTGTTGGGCCCCATGCTGGGCTTGGAGCCTACTTAAGAAAGAAAAAAAAAAAAGAACTATCTCTTCCATACTGTTTTACTCTTTGTGGGAGTTTTTTTTTTTTATTGTAAAATTCATGTACAATAAAATTCAGTTTTATGTGTGTACAATTCAGTGGTTTTAGTACATTCACAAGGTTGTGCAACCACCACCACTATCTAATCTCAGGAGATTTTGATCACCCTGGAAAGAAACACCATATCCATTAGCAGTCACTCCCCGTTCCCCTACCTCCCTCCTCTTAGTCCTTGGCAACCACTCATCTACTGTTTATATGGATTTGCCAATTCTGGACATTTCATATAAATGGAATTTATCGGTTGATGGACATTTGAGTTTTTTCTACTTTTTGGCTGTTATAAATAATGCTGTTATAAATAATGCTAATGTACATGAACATTCATGTACAAAATTTTGTGTGAACATGTTTTTATTTCTCTTGAACATATACTTAGGAATGGAATTGCCGAGTTATAGAGTAGTTCTGTTTAACTGAGAGTTCTTTTGTCATCCTATTTTTAACTCCTCTGAATTTGGAAAGGTCTCAGAGTCCAGTGGGCCTTTACTACCATTTTGTTATACCTTAAACAAATGAGTGAAGAAAAGAAGTTTGATATTGACCATTTGATATCACTGCTGGGTAGATCCTCTAATCCTTCTGTGTCACCATTAACACACTAAATGATAACAGCCATAAATTGAAGCTTTTACTGAACAATCATCTCTTACCCACTATGTGAAGACCTGGGATTTCAGTGGGTGTTACCATTTCTGTTGTAGATTCAGTGAATCAGCAAGGGTTTGGGTTGTTGTTACTAAGAGAGAACTATAGAGGTCAGTAAAGCACATTAGAGAAATAGTACCCATATAGCCTTTGTTTTCTCACCAAAGTTGAATTTCACGTCTTAAGAATTGTGATCTATCAACTGAGTTTGTCCCAAACTCTTTGGGGACTCTTACAAATTCAGTTTCTAAATTCATACTTTATCTTCCAGGGACAACCATATGCCACTTTTTATTGATGTAAACTGCCAAGTTATAATAATAATAACATAATTAAGCACATAATATGTGTCAGGCACTGTTGTGAGTTGCGCAGTGGCAGTATCGTAGCCAATGAGGTTTATCCGAGGCGTGATTATTGCTAAGTGAGTTAATTCTAAATGAATTAGCATGAATTAGGTCCTGTCTTTATCCGCATTTTTATTTATTTTTATTGTTACTATTTTAAGTAGGTGCCACACCCAGCATGGAGCCCAACACAGGGCTTGAACTCACAGCCCTGAGATCAAGACCTGAGCTGAGATCAAGAGTTGGACATTTAGGGTGGCTCAGTCGTTAAGCTAAGCATATGCCTTTGGCTCAGGTCATGATCCCAGGGTCCTGGGATTGAGTCCCGTGTTGGGCTCCCTGCTCAGCGGGAAGCCTGCTTCTCCCTCTCCCACTCCCCCTGCTTGTGTTCCCTCTCTCCCTGTCTCTCTCTCTCTGTCAAATAAGTAAATAAAAATCAGGCACTCCTATCCTCATTTTCACTTATTTTTTTTAAGATTTATTTGAGAGTGGGTGCATGCCCACAAGCAGGGGGAGGGGCAGAGGGAAAGAGAGACTCTCAAGCAAACTCCCTGCTGAATGCACAGCCCGACACGGAGCTCCATCCACAACCCTGAGACCGGGTGACCTGAGCCGAAATCAAGAGTTGGATGGATGCCCAACTGACTGTCCCATCCTCATTTTTATTTGTTTTATTTATTTATTTTTAAAGATTTTATTATTTATTTGAGAGAAAGAGAGAGACAAAGATAGCCTGAGCGGGGAGGAGAGGGAGAAGTAGACTCCCCACTGAGCAGGGAGCTGGATGCGGGACTCGATCCCAGGACCCCAGGATCATGACCTGCGCCGAAGCAAACGCTTAACCAACTGAGCAACCCAGGCGCCCCCCATCCTCATTTTTATGTGAAGGAACTGAGGTACAGAGATATGAAATTTGCCCAAGGTTACACAGCTAATTAAGTCAGACTTCAAACCCAAGCTGTCTGATCACAAGCGCATACTCTGAACCACTTCCCTGTACTGACTGCCATGCCTCTCAGGTGCTATGCAAATATAAGATGTTATTATTTGCTACTGTTAGTTACAGTTAATTAAGGCTTTTGTTTACACAGATAGTAATCAGACTTTTGCTGACTTCTCACAGCCTACCATTAGAATAAATATAAATGTTCTAAGAAGTAGAAGGGAAACGGGAAGAAAATCTTACGTTCCCAGCTGAGAATTGGGGTTCTGCTTATGACCAAGAATTCTATTTGTACATCATATAATTAACTTTCATTACTGGAGGAATTGGAGAATTTATGTTAATTATAATTGAAGTTATAATACCTCACTGTTGGTTTGGTTATTTACTTCTTTCCCTACCCCACTCTCCAATCCTGTTTCCATGGCTAAGGAAATCTATGGTAAAGTTTGTTAATTCAAAGTAATGTTATAGGACCCCTGGGTGGCTCAGTTGATTATGCGTTTTCCTTCAGCTCAAATCATGATTCCAGGGTCTTGGGATCGAGCCTGGGGTTGTCAGGCTCCCTGCTCACTGGGAAGCCTGCTTCTGCCTCTCCCTCTGCCCCTCCTCCCTACTCTTTTTTTTTTTTTTAAGATTTTATTTATTTATTTGACAGAGAGATAGTGAGAGCAGGAACACAAGCAGGGGGAGTGGGAGAGGGAGAAGCAGGCTTCCCGCGGAGTAGGAGCCCGATGCGGGATTCGATCCCAGGACCCTGGGATCATGACCTGAGCCGAAGGCAGCCGCTTAACGACTGAGCCACCCAGGCACCCCCCTTCCTCCCTACTCTTGCACGCCCATGCTCTCTCCTTCTCGTGCTCAAATAAATAAATAATCTTTAAAAAAAAATAAAAGTAATATTATTTTTAATTTTTGCAACAATTGAGGGGTTCTAGGACATATAAGATTAGTATTGAGAGTCTCCATTTGGTTCTAGATTTTCTCCCTTTAGGAAGAGAAGTAGGATAGAGTATTGGGTGTTGCTTTGCTTTAAAAAATATCTTTAGGAGGGGCGCCTGGGTGGCTCAGTAGGTTAAGCATTTGGCTTCGGCTCAGGTCATGATCCCAGGGTCCTGGAATTGAGCCCCACGTCAGGCTCCCTGCTCAGTAGGGAAGTCTGCTTCTCCCTCTTCCTCCACCCCTCCCCCTGCTCATGCTCTCACTCTCTTCTCTCAAATAAATAAATAAAATCTTTTTAAAAATATCTTGAGCAAAACATGTGGAAGACGAATCCTATGTGGTTTTGACAGTTCAGTTGAATAGGAGCGAGTTACAAGGAATTAAAAGATAGTGGAGAGATCTGACTGGTTATTCCTTCATTCTACAGTTGCCCCAAATAACAGTGTTGATGGCCATGCAGGAGAAATACCCAAGTGAGAGGCTCTCTCATGCCACTTCACCAGGTGAGTAGTCAAAGTTTTCTGACCTTTGCTCTGTTTTTTCATAACAGAAAAATTTCCTTTAAAGGAAATAGTTAGCAAACAAACATTCACTGAAATGCTCGTACTTAAAGAACAAAAATAACATGAGGCTATATTGAATAGAAAAACAGTCCTCTCCAAAAGAACAACTATTTATCTCTGGTCCTACATGGCTTCCAAGAAGACCACATGATTGATTGGGAGGGGAGGACACATGAAGGAACAGAATGACTTTGGAACATAGTTTCATTTGAAATCAGAAAAACACAGCATAAATTACTGTGTTCTATGTTGTCTTTGTAGTCCTGTGGGTGGGTCAGTCATCTGCTAGCCCACAAAGATTGGAATTCTTCTTGGATGCCAAGTCTCAGTTATGTCACTAGAGACTCGGGAATTTATCTTTAGAATGGATTGACAAGATTTTGAAAGCTCAGTAGATATACTAAGTGGATATATTAAGTATATATGTTAAACATATATAGATATATATATAAATACATACATTCAATGGATAAGTAGATATGGTATATTTAAATAGAAAGTAGGATAGAAAAATAGCTTTTTGAATTCTGGGGTACTTATGAAGAGGGGTACATTTTTTCAACTAAGGATATACTTTATTTAACTTTAAAATACTACAGTGCCTTACAGCAGATATTTATTAGATACTTGTTATATTCTCCTAGGAATGCTGCCTTGCATAGATTAAGCATTTTGAAAAACGTTTGTTGAATCAGTTCAAGATTCCTTCAGCGAATATTTATTGAACATCTGCTATATGCCATACACTGTTTTAGGGCTGGATCGTATAATTTCTTATGACAGTTATGTTATAACACACAAATTTGGGGGAGGTAGCAATTTCTAACAAAACTCACTGCTTTTCTGGGGCGCCTGGGTGGCTCAATCAGTTAAGCATCTGCCTTCAGCTCAGGTCATGATCCCAGGGTCCTGGGATCAAGTCCTACATCGGGCTCCCTGCTCAGCAGGAGACCTGCTTCTCCCTCTCCCTTCTCCTGCTGCTCCCCCTGCTTGTGGTCTCTCTCCCTCTGTCAAGTAAATAGATCTTAAAACAAAACAAAACAAAAACCTCACTGCTTTTCTGATGGCTTTGTCTTCAGTAGTCTCTCATTCGATTAATAATGGTCTTAATATTTTGGTAAAGAGGGCGCCTGGGTGGCTCAGTTGGTTAAGCGACTGCCTTTGGCTCAGGTCATGATCCCGGAGTCCCGGGATCGAGTCCCACATCGGGCTCCCTGCTCAGCAGGGAGTCTGCTTCTCCCTCTGACCCTCCCCCCTCTCATGCTCTCTCTCTCTCTCTCATTCTCTCTCTCAAATAAATAAATAAAATCTTAAAAAAAATAAATAAAAATTAAAAAATATCTTGGTAAAGATATTGGTGATAGGACATGTGACAACACAAAAAATTTCGGCTTTCAAACTTGAATTTTGAAATAAGCATAAGCCTCTATACCTATACCAAAATACATTTTTTAAATGATCTCTAGGGCGCCTGGGTGGCTCAGTCAGTTAAGTGTTTGCCTTCGGCTCAGGTAGTGATCCTGGAGTCCTGGGATCAAGTACCTCATCGGGCTTCTTGCTTCTCTCTCTACCCCTCCTCCCTGCTTGTGATCTCTCTCTCTCTCTCTCTCTCAAATAAATAAATAAAATTAAAAAAAAAAAGTGATCTCTATACCCAGTGTGGGACTTGAACTCATGACCCCAAGATCAAGAGTTGGATGCTCTACCAACTTAGCCAGCCAGACACTCCCCAAAATGCATTTTTATTTTAGCAAATATCTCTTCAGAATTGATGTATGAAGTGAGCAGATAGAAAAGTGGTACTGGTAAAGAATGCAAGATTAGTAGTAGTAACAAGAAGAGGCCAGAAAGATGGTAATAGAGGCCCTCAATCAATTTTCATTATTTCAAAAGGCCTGGAAATTTGTCTACTGACTAGAGAGATAACACCATATAGACTTACCAAAAAGTCAAATTTCTTTCCTTCTAGCTAGAATTATACTTAGTACAGATAGTAACACCAGCTAATCTTACGCTAATCAGAAGCTTTGATTCTTGGGTATGTCTTCTATGAAAGATTATTATAGATTACTGCGGGTATATAGATTCTTTCACATCAGGCAGTCCACTGTGACCCCAAGAATAAGTCCTTGGGGAGAGTTAGAGTGCCTTCAGTAGAAAGCAGAGGGTAGCAAAATTAGAAGAAAGTGAGTTAAAAATATGGGAGAAGCACTAAAATTGGAAGAAGAGAATAAGGCGATTTGTGTTCAAATATCATTTGCTTCCCACTAAATCAAAGAGTCTGTAGAACCTTGTTTTCTGATTTCAACTAAAACTCTGACATTTTAAATGCATAAGTAGCTGTCATTACGTTTTTGTCTATTTGTTTGCATGGATCATCAGATTCAGTTTAGAAAAATTAGAGTGTTTTTTTTTAACAGTAAATACTAGTAAATCAAGTATTTATTAAACACTTGCTACCTACTGGCCCTCAAGTAGCAAGCTAATAACGTTAAATAAATCTCCTCAGTCTTGTTTTGTCTTACCTACTCAGAAATTTTAGTGGTTTCTTTGCATTCTACTCAAAATAGTCTTAAACTCTTCAGATTGACTTTTAAGACTTATCTTGTTCTGGATTCACCCTGTCCACAGGGTACCCCAGTTCAGTCAAGCAGTGGTTTTCTTTCTGTTTCTTTTCTTTACGTTTCTTTCTTTCTTTCTTTCTTTCTTTACTTTTCTTTCTTTCTCTCTCTCTTTCTCTCTCTCTCTCTTTCTCTCTCTCTTTCTTCCTTTCTTTCTCTCTCTCTCCCTTCCTTCCTTCCTTCCTTCCTTCCTTCCTTCCTTTCTTCCTTTCTTCCTTGCCTGCATGCACATGAGTGGGGGGAAGGGCAGAGGGAGAGAAGCACACTCCTTGATGAGCACAGAGTCCAATGCAGGGCTCGATCCCAGGACCCCTACATCTTGACTTGAGTTGAAGTCAGACGCTTAACTGACTGAGCCACCTAGGCACCGCCATGCAATGGTTTTCAACAAGAAACTGGACTGCCTGTTACCCTAGGGAGCATTTGGAAACACATGGGGTATTTTCATGTTTCACAGTGATGGTGGGATAGGGTTAGGGCTGCTACTGGCATTTAATAGGGACCAGGGATGCTAAACCATCCTGACATGTATAGACTATACATTGAAGAATTGTCATGCCTTGTATGCCAAAAGCACCTATTGAGAAATCCTGTAAGAGGAAAGAATGTGGATATTGTAATCAAAACAACCTGGGTTCAAATCTCAGCTCTATCCTCTGTAAAATAGGGGTGATGATACTATTCAGTAATTAAGTAGATGAAATCATGTTGGTAAAGTGTTACGGCTTCTAGGTTTCAAAAAATGGTAGCTACTGTTGAGTGGTATTGTTTTCTCTCCTAGTATTCCTGGGTTCTTGGTAAGTCTTATTTCTGTCTGTGAACATTCTCACCTCTCATGCTATTTCCATTTAAAATTAACTAAGAGAAGCTGAAATAGGCATAGGAGAGAGAGTGATCCTATTTTTTATAGGTTTAAGTGCTTTATTTAAACAGTCTTATGGGGTTACATCAACTGGTTCACACTAAAGATGGGAAATGCCACTTGTTTCAGGTTCCAGTGGAATTCAAAAGGGTAGTTCCCTGGGGACTGAATGGCAGACTCCAGTTATATCAGAGGCTTTTCGGAGTCGATTCAGCCGCTGCTCAAGTGTAGCTGACAGTGGGGACACAGCCATTGGCACATCATGCTCAGACATTGCAGAGGGTAAGTTTGGATTAATGCTTTGATTACTAATATGTGTTGTCATTTTCAGATTGTGTTCCAGGTGTATTGTCATTTCCATAATATTCATAACTCAGTCCCTTCAGCCAAGGAGTTTGCTTGATTATTTTTATTCTGTGTTTCTTACATCTGGCCCTTTCCTTTCAGTTTTTACTGTTTGTCCTATCTTAAATAACTTTTTAATAGGTTTCTTGTCCTCAAATCTTTCCCTCTACTGCCAGGTTAATCTTTCTAAAAGCCTGGTTTCATAGTTTCCCTTTCCCGTAAATCCTGACTTCTTCTATTACTTGGAGGATAAAGTTCAGAGGCCTTAGTTCTGTGATCTGGCTCTACCCCACCCATTCAGACATTTCTTAACATTTCGAAGTGTCGTGTTTCACTGTGCAATGAAAAAGCACAGAACTTTTGTTGTTGTTGTTGTTGTTTGGATATCTGAGCTCTTTTCTTCTTTAATCCAGGCCCGTTTGTGCTGTTTCCACCCTCTCTTGCCCTTCCCAGCAATGCTGATCTTATTTTTCAAAATCTAGTGAAGTGTCTGACAAGACTTCCCATCCCTTCTACCCATTACTGATCTCCCTCTCTGCAATCTTTTTTTTTTTTTAATTTTTAAAAATTTTTATTTATTTATTTGAGAGAGAGAGCACGAGAAGGGGTAGGGTCAGTGGGAGAAGCAGACTCCCTGCTGAGCAGGGAGCCCAGTGCAGGATTCGATTCTGGGACTCCGGGATCATGACCTAAGCTGAAGACAGTTGCTTAATCGACTGAGCCACCCAGGTGCCCTGCAATCTTTTTTTTTTTAAATAAGAATTCATTTATTAATTTGAGAGGGAGAGGGGGAGAGAGAGAGAGAGAACAAGAGCAGGGGGAGGGAGAAGCAGACTCCCTGCTGAGCAGGGAGCCTGATGCAGGGCTAGATCCCAGGACCCTGGGATCATGACCTGAGCCGAAGGCAGACGCTCAACCCACTGAGCCACCCAGGCACCCCTCCCTCTCTGCAATCTTGTATCTTTATTATGTCTGCCATTTTGGGGGCACTTAAATTAAGTAATAACTGCCAGACAGTGCTTTACAAGAGTATTTTCTTTTTTTTTTTAGATTTCATTTATTTAAGTAATCTCTATACCCAATGTGGGGTTTGAACTCATGAGCCTGAGATCAGGAGTCCCATGCTGTACTGACTGAGCCAGCCAAGCACCACAAGAGTATTTTATTTTTTCATTTAGATAGTGATTTCCTAGAGGGCAGAGGACCTGATGATAATAATTAATAACTATTTATTAAATACTTTGTGATGGATACTATGCTAAACTTTTTTCATTAACATCTTTAAGAACTCTATGAAGTATTATTTCCATTTTACAGCTGAGAAAGCTGAATTTCTTTTTTTTTTAAGATTTATTTATTTGAGAGAAAGAGTATTAGTGGGAGGAGGGGCAGAGGGAGAGAATCTTCAAGCAGACTCCCTGCTGAGTGCAGAGCCCTACAGAGGGCTCGATCCCACAATCCATGAGATCATGACCTGAGCCAAAACCAAGCGTTGGACGCTCAACCAACTGAGCCACCCAGGCACCCCGGGAAAGCTGAGTTTCAGAGGATTAGATGATTTAATTAAAGTCACAAAACTAGTCACTTTAGTACTTTATCAGATGTCACACCCACTAGGATGGCTATAATCAAAAAGATTAACAAGTGTTGGTGAGAATGTAAAGAAATTGAAGCCTCTATACATTACTGGTGGGAGTGTAAAATGTTGCAGCTGCTTTGGAAAGCAGTTTGGCAGATCTTCAAAAGGGTAAACATGGAGTTACCCTATGACTCAACAGTTCTACTCCTACCTATATACTCAAGAGAAAGGAAAGCATATGTCCACAGGTAAACTTGTTATTCATAGCAGCATTATTCATAGTAGCCAGAAAATGGAAACAACCCAGAAGTTTATCAACTGATGAATGGATGAGTCAAATGTAGTATATCCATATAATAGAATACTGTTCCACAATAAGAAGAAATGAAGTACTAATACATGTTACAAAAATGGTTGAACTTTTAAAACATTTATGCTAAGTAAAGCCAGATGCAAAAGGCCACATACTGTATGATTCCATTTATATGAAATGTCCAGGATAGGCAAATCTAGAGAAACAGAAAATAAGTGGTTGTCCAAGGCTAGGGAAGTTAGGGTAAATGGAATGTGCCTGCTAAAGGGTAAGGGGTTTCTTTTTGGGCTGGTAAAATACTCTGTAATTTATTGTAGTGATTGCTACACAATAGTGACTATACTAAAAACCATTGAATTGTATACTTCAAGTGGGTGAATTGAATATTATGTGAATTATATTTCAGTAAAGCTGTTTTTTTAAGAAAAGGATAGAAATCTTTGAAAATAGAAATGAAAAAAAAAAAAAAAAACCCAAGCAGATACCTACTAGTACTGACTCGTAGACACCTGACATTTAATTTTAATAGTTTGATAGCTGTGTGTATGTGGGCATGGTGCTCATAAATGTTCAGTAGAACTGAATCATAGATTTTGTTGTAGACAGGACTTTGAAAATCATTTAATCCAGTTCCTTTTTGCTGGTGAGTAACAAAAATTCCGTGAGGGGTTAAGTAACTTGCCTAATGTCACATAACTAGTCAGGTTCAGGTCTCCCAGCTGTAGTATTTTTTCTATCACTTGTGTAATCAAGTGTTACTGTCAGTGTAGTTATTTGTTAAGGTTTTGTCTACATGTGCAGTCATGGGACCTTTTTCATTTTGACTAAATAATAGATCTTTTAAAAATCAAACAATGGTCTAGATTTTCCCCCTGTTGAATTGAGTGGCTCTATTTAATTCAGTCACATTGTTACACAGATTGTGTGCTTTTTATTTCTTTGTGGGGGGATATATTTCCTGTGTAGTGCATTCTTTTTAAATTGTAGTAGCCTTGATGTAGTGCTTGTTGTTTTGGTGTTTTTTTTTTTTTTTTAAAGGATCCAAGGTGGGGCGCCTGAGTAGCTCAGTCAGTTAAGAGTCCAACTCTTGATTTCAGCCCAGGTCATGGTCTCAGGGTGAGATCATGTGAGATTGTGAGATTGAGCCCTTCATCAGACTCCACACTCAGCGTACTCTGCTTGAGATTCTCTCCTTTTCCCTCTACCCCTCCCCCCGCTTGCACACGTACACACTCTAAATAAATAAATAAATAAATACATCTTTTTAAAAATTAAATAAAGGATCCAAGCTGGCTTCTCTGCCATGTTTATTATGTACGATGGTCTTTAATCCTTGCTCATTTTGTTCATCTAGCTTGGTTTTATTTGGAGCCCAGTTGACAGGAACCCTTATGCCTGGTATAAAATATAGTTCATTTTTGCATCTTTTTTTTCATTGTTGCATCTTTAAAGTGAATAGGCTTGCTTTTGATTCCACCCTTCACTAAAATGTTTTACCTTGAAGACTCTCAAGTGTTGGGGTAGAGGTGGATACTGGAGAGCTCAGAAGGTTTTCAGCTTTTTGCTAAAGACTGCAATAGTTACTGTCTTAGTTCAGACTACCTTACTTTCATAAACCAGTAAGAGATATAGACAGAAATCACCAAGAAAGTAGAGTGGTTAGAAAGAATTAGGGAGCGGGGCAGAGGGTATGGTTGAGGAGGAGAGATTTAGAAATACGAATATCCTTAAAAGTGCCAAAACCCCAATGATTATGAGAACTGTAGACTTCTCTAAAAATCACATATCCCATACACTAAATTTTGAAAGTCTTTGAAAATTGTAGAAGGTTAGTGGCCCTTTTGAAAATGAGTATTGCTATTTTCTTCAAAATGTTTCAAAATACAAATCAGACTTAAGGTGTAACTTGACATTTTATAGCAGTTTGTCAGAATTGCCAGTTTCCTTACTATAAATAGATAAACCTGATAGGTAAGTGACATGCTGACAAAGATTTTACTTTATTCTTTTATTGGTGGATGGACCACAGTCCTAGAAAATTAGGAAAACCAAATTCTCCTGGGTCATTTGGTACCTTTCCAGGCTTTGGTTTTGGCATTACTACTTTGGTTATGGGCTCAAAACTCAGAATTTGGTGAGTCTTGAGAGTGGGTGATGCTGTAGGTAGAGAATGGAAGGAGGTGTTACAAAGTTCAGCGTAATAGCAGCCCCTCGTATGCCACAACCTCACTGTCTTCTGTGCCATAATTATACTTTGAGAGCAGAGACCCTTGGTAAGAGTGGATATTATGGTGCCATTACAGAGGATTTCAAGTAGGGAGCTTACTATTCTTGGAAGTTTTCATCACCACAGTCTACCTTAGCCTGTTGACTATTCCTGTGTATAAGTTATGGGACATCAAAAACTGTGTCCTTTGCCTCTGAAATGTTCTTTCTTGGTCCTTAGAGGCAGACACATTTATCAGAAATTACTGTTGTTTTGTTTTGGTATGGCCTTTTATATATATATCCCCAAGATCATCTAAGTATAGAAAATTAGATACTTTGTCTTATCCCATACATTATAAGGGATAATTTGATGTGTCCATGGTTTTCATTTTTGGGGGGGGGTTGTTTCTGGGTTGGTTTGTTGTTTAAGATTTTTTTATTTATTAGAGCGTGCATGTGGGCGGGAAACGGAGAGAGAATCTGAAGCAGACTCTGTGCTGAGCACAGAGCCTGATGTGGGGCTTGATTCCTTAGCCATGAGATCATGATCTGAGCCGAAACCAAGAGTTGGACACTTAACCGACTGAGCCACCCAGGTGTCCCCCTTTTTATTTTGTTTTTAAGATTTTATTTATTCATTTATTTTAGAGACGGTGGGGGGGGTGGAGAGGGGCAGAAGGAGAAGGAGAGACTCTCAAGCCGACTCTGCTCTGAGCATGGAGTCCGATGTGGGGCTCAGTCTCACAACCCTGAGATCATGACCTGAGTCAAAATCAAGAGTTGACACTCAACCGACTGAGCCACCTAGGTGCCCTGTGTCCATGTTTTTAAAGAGCTGTTTTACAAACCCATATGAGAAGATGGTAGCTGATCTGTGGTAATTCTGGGAAAGGTTATAGTATCTGTCCTCATTAGCTGAGTGTTCTGTGTTGGTTGATGGAAAGAAAAAAGAAATGAATTAAATTGGTAGTCCATTCTTCTCCATGGTAGATGTGCTTAGTTTGGTAAGAATACTGGGCATGGTTGAAAAAGGAAGATATTTATATTCCTTGTCCCGTTACTCAGTTTTCTCTCTGCTGAAGGTAACAGGTATGTTTCCTCACATTCCTGTCTTGTGGTTTGCTTACAGCCCACTGCCTTGGCACATTAATTCTGTGACCCTATAGTCTTTTTCAGAGCAGCGCTTGAAAGTTGGAAATAATATAGAAATGTGTACCTTCTGCAGCAGGTCTAATCAGAGAGTTGTCTCCCAAAACCAGGCAAGAGCTAAAGGAAGCATAAATCCAGTGTGAAAGAAAAGTGAAAAGTCACAGTTGGATATAAACAAGGGGGAAGTGAAAGGCAAAATATAAAATAGAGGATTTCAGTGTGTACCCACTTGAGAGTGCTCACTGTGCTGGAGTGAAACCTGAGAGTTACTAAGAATAACTTCACATATCCAGGCAGTCAGGTCTGGTGTGTGGGAGAGAGAATAGAATCCTGATTCAGATGCTGTACTCCCTGTCCTGGATACAGAGCAGCACTATCCACTTTGCCTATTCTTCGTATAGTTTAGATTCACTGCTTACCTTCACTGGGAAGCTTTTGGAGGTCACAGAGGATTCTGGCAGCCCTTGGAAAGAATATTTTTATTGGATTGGATTATAGCTTGAGAGTTGCCCAGCTCCCAGAAGAGTAGGACCTAATCCATTTCCCTTAAGTAAGTGGTTTTTTTTTGTTTTGTTTTTAAGTTCAATTTTTCAGCTTTGTTTGTTTACTGGCAAGATTTTTTTTCAAATAAAAAGGACAGGGTGTAAGTTAAAAGTAAAGCTAAATGCTGCCTTTTGCTGGTTTACCTTGCGGATGGCATTTGAGATCCTAGAATACACGTAACTTCTCAGTTAGGTTGCCTTTCTGCCTGATACTTGTGATGATAGTGTCTATTCTGCCTGGTCTCAGGACAGGCAGAGATCTGGCATAGCAGCCAAACTAAAGAAAGCCTGCTGCTTCAGTTTTGACTTATGGAAGACTATTCTCTTTACAGATTTTTGTAGCTCAAGTAGCAGCCCTTCTTTCCAGCCCATCAAAAGCCACATAACCATTCCAACAGCCCATGTGATACCTTCTACTTTGGGGACCTCTCCTGCCAAGCCACATTCTATACCTGCTGGACTCTCTTCCTCCAAACTCCCTTTGTCAGGGCTGGCTGAAGGTGTGGGGATGACAAGAAATGGAGACCTCGGTGCAATGAAACGTTCTACAGGCCTGTCTAGAGATTTCATGTATCTTTGTGGTGCTACTGGAGAAAATGGAATTGAGCAGTCCTGGTTTCCAGCGGTGGGCCATGAAAGAGAAGAAGAGGTGAGGAAGTTTGATATTCCCAGTATGGAGTCTACCCTTAATCAGTCGGCAATGATGGAGACACTTTATTCAGATCCTCACTACCAAGTCCACTTTCACAACCCAAGAGCTGACACAAACAAGGAGTTATACAAAGTGTTGCCTGAGACCAAAAAGGCACCAGGCAGTGGGGTGGTATGTGAGCGGAATGGACCTCACCCTAATAGCAGTGGAGTGCTCCCTTTGGGACTCCAGCCTGCTCCTGGCTTCTCCAAGCCTCTACCCTCTCAGGTATGGCAGCCGAACCCTGACCCTTGGCACCCCCGTGAGCGATCTTGTGAGCTCAGCACTTGTCGGCAGCAGCTGGAGTTGATCCGTTTACAGATGGAACAAATGCAGGTAGGGGCCCTTCTTTCCTTGGATTTGGTGGGTTCTTTGCAGATCTTAGAACTATATAGGTTTTGTCCTGTAAGTTTTGGCTCTAAAGAAAACATTTGTAAGAAAGATAAGATGTTTATAGATGGGAAATGAAGGCTTGTGAATACCATTGAATATGGTGGTTGTCTAATTAAACTCCAAATAGGTCCTCCAGAGTAGAGGGTTACAACAGAAGACCCCAAAAGATGTGACACTAACACTAATTTTGTACTTATATACCAGTCACTAGGCTAGGTACTTTCACATACAGAATCTTAATTTAATCCTTGTAGCACTTTGATGAGATAAATGTAGAAATTTACCAGGTTGTTAGAATAAGTAATCTGTCCAGGGTCACAAAGCTGGTAAGTAGCAGAGCTAGGGTTTAAAAACTATCTCTAAACCCCTGTGTTTCTTCCATTATACCAATTTTTGTGTTTTAAAAAAAAAAAATGCCTTGTGCTGCTTAAGGAAGGAAAAAAGCAAGACGTATTCTCCTTTCCTGGTTGGTGAGGACATCTTAGCTCCTGGTTTGCCTCTCTTGCCAGATAATGAAAGATAAGTGACCTTTTCTTAGAAACTAGAGCCTTTATGAGCAGGGAGTGTCCAGTTGGCAGAAGTCTCCCTGGCAGGTTCTTTCCAGTCATGCATCAGAGCTAAAATTATTTCATAAACACTGGGCCTCCTCAGGCTGAGCTAAAGTGAGCCTTGACTAGAGACCCAGCTGGGTACTGCTCAGGTGTTTTCAGGTGCCTGTGGGTCAAGATCAAGCCCCTCTGGGCCTCCTTGTCTTCCAGCTTCAGAATGGAGCCATCTGCCACCATCCCGCTGCATTTGCTCCATCACTGCCCACATTAGAACCAGCACAGTGGATCAGCATCTTAAACAGTAATGAACACCTTCTGAAGGAAAAGGAGCTCCTCATTGACAAGTAAGAGGTCAAGGGGTGCCCTAGGACCAGTATCTGCTCTCCCAGTCCCCACTGAGGGCACCTAATGAGGTCTCCAAGGGTAGCACATCCCTCTCTGTTTGAGTCCATGCCTTGCCTCATGGTAGAGCTAGGTTGATAAGCAACCTAGTCCTATATCTGACTAATGGGACGGGCTAATTGTGTATTCTCTGCAGGGACTCTGGGAGTGCCTAGAGTGGGCAGCCAGTTCTTTGTAGCTGATCTTTTCCTCATTTCCCCCAAGTCAGCTTTCTTATTTGCTCTTCCTCCTTCAGCAAAACAGTATTACCCAGATGCAAGGCCTTTGCTTTACATAGTATGAATTGTACCCACTTAAGGAAAGTGGGGACTCATGTTGCAAGTGGGTTAGTGTCAGGACCCTGGACCTCATTCTACTGGCTTTTGCAGGCAGAGGAAACACATCTCTCAGCTGGAGCAGAAAGTACGGGAAAGTGAACTGCAAGTCCACAGTGCCGTTTTGGGCCGCCCTGCCCCCTTTGGGGATGTCTGCTTGCTGAGGCTGCAGGTAAGCATTGGCAGCCAGAATGGCATTCTGGTTGTCATAATTCAGTGTCTTCCCTTTGCTTGGTACTGCTAGGTATCCAGGAGATAGAAAAAGGATCAAGTGATATAAGGTGTTCTTACCCTTAATGGGTAGGCATCCTAATTATAATGCATCCCTTGTTCTGCCTTTGTGGGAGCAGAGAAGGCTCGCGGGTAGAATCAGGTATACCTTGGTGTCAGGACATACTTGGGAGAAAATGAAGGCAGAGCAAGGTACATAATAAGGTTCTAGAGTTGGGTGATGTTCTGAGAAGTCTTAATCTACCAGCCTTAGCCAAATGGAGGGAGAGGCAGAGATAATGGGATTTAGAGCCATACTCATTTTTTTATTTTTCCGTGTCTAGGAGCAACTAAAGGAAGCCATGTTTTCACTGAGGGCAGTGGCTCCTAAAAAGCCTGCCCTGTTCACTTCTTCTGCAATATGGGCTTTTGAGTGATGGGTATTAGACAGATTATAGTACTGGCTTTGCCACCTAGTGGGCCTGTTAAGACAGTGTTCTATCTTATAGAATCAGAATATTAGAGTGAGAAAGGCCCTTATGTAAAATCTAGTTCAGTCCTCTAATTTACTGGTGAAAAAACTGAGGCCCAAGAAGGAGGATGAACTTTTGCCCAAGATCATATAGAGAATGAGTAGAGGAGAAAATTTGAGTGTGGTTCAGAATCACTTGAACGGCTTGTTAAAACACAGATTATTGAGCCCCATCCTCAGAGTTTCTGATTCAGTGGGATGGGAGTTGGGCTCAAGAATTTTTATTTCTGACAAATCCCCAGGTGATGCTGAAGATGTTAGTCCTAGGACCACACTGTGAGAAGCACTGCTTGAAGAAATTCTTAGAGAAGGATGATATTTGACCACAAAGTAGACTGAGGATAAGTAAAGTACATGGGGCTATACGGGTGAGGAACGGTTATGTATTGAGAATCTTTATGCAGGAATTGCAGCGAGAGAACACTTTCTTACGTGCGCAGTTTGCACAGAAGACAGAAGCCCTGAGCAAAGAAAAGATGGAGCTTGAAAAAAAACTGTCTGCTTCAGAAGTTGAAATCCAGCTCATCAGAGAATCACTCAAAGTGGCGTTGCAGAAGCACTCAGAGGAGGGGAAGAAACAGGAAGAAAGGGTGAGCTAAGAAGTTGGTAGCTTTCTAATTCACAAAGGAGTTGGCAGTCAGCCTTCTCCTGCCGAACCCTAAGCTGTTTCTGGCCCCCGTTCTTGGAACTAGGAGGAACCAATTGGGTGAGAGCCTACATTGACTTTTCGTGCAGGACTGGTCTGCTAGAAATGGCACCCCTCCTTTTGCTTCATCTCCACAAAACTGCCACAGATAGAACATCCCTCACTGCCCCAGGTTGTGATGGGCTTCCAACTGACCTGGGTAGAAAACCAGCCTGTGCAGTCATACCGGATGGTACTGTTGCAAGATGTTTAAACATCTGTGGTAAATTTACATCATTCAGCCTGGTTTTTCCTTATTCTACCTAAAAATTAGAAAAGAATTCCATGTATGCAGCCAGTTTGGGAATTTTTACATTTTTACCTTAGAATTGCCTTAGGGTAAGATTGGTCATCATAGAAGGAGCTGATTTAAAATCTCTTGCTTCTCTTTCACAGCTTGCTCTAATGCAGGTGTTCTTGGGGGACCAGTTAGTAGTAATGTTTAGTTCTGGACCACTTGCATCAAAATCAACCAGAGCTGTGCTTCTTAAACTTTAATGTGCTTAAGAATCACTGGGTCATCTTGTTTAAAATTCAGATCCAGGGGCACCTGGCCGGCTCAGTCGGTGGAGCGTGTGACTCTTGATCTCAAGGTTGTGAGTTTGAGCCCCACGTTTGGTGTAGAGATTACTTAAAATCTTTTCTTTTTTTCTTAAGTAAAATAAAACACAGATCCAGATTTAATACTTCTGGGGTGGGGTGTGCCTGAAATCCTGCATTTTTAGCAAGCTCCCAGCTGACTTCGGTGGTACTAGTATAGCAAGGACTTAGAGGCTTGTTTAAAAAGAAACTTTTAGTCAGAATACATGTATCTAAGTTAGATAATCAAACACCAGTATGTTTATGATAAAACCTAGTAGCTCTGTACCCAACCCCACTCCACAGAGATTTCCATCTTTAACCCTTTCTCCTGACATATACCTTTATATTTCTGAGTAGTATTCTTGAGGTTTTTGCCGTTTTTGTTTCATGGGTGCAGTATCTTCTGTCTCTGATGATACTGATTTTATCTTTTGAGATGTCTACATCTACTTATAGTGTTTTCTTTTTTTTTTTCCCCCAGAACGTTTTGTTTTGTTTCAGTGTCTTTCATGTCAGAGGCTTGGTGATCCTTGAATGAATGGGCACTCATGTTTTAGAATGAAGTATTTAAAAGCTGGATAGAAGCTCTGGGTTCATGGTAATTTCCTGGTGGACTGCATTATAGGATAGTCAGATTTAGACTGCCTTCTCACTTGGGAGCCCTCAAATATTAGTTATCTGAATGTCTTATCTCACTCTCTTCAGAAGAAGAATCAATCTTCAGCCTGCTGCTTAGTTGGGAGGCTGAGGACAAGAATGCTTTTGGCCTTCAGGACCTCAATATTGAGAAACAGATTAGGCTTAGAGTCCCACAGTTCTGTACATAGATTTTTACTTATACTTACTTTCAACCCGGTACTGCACTCTCTCTACTGTGACTGATATCCCTGAGTTTGGAATCTCCCTCATCTGATTTCTCCAGAGAATAAATTTCCTCCAGTCTCCTATTGGGGAAATCTAGGGTAAAAATGGTATCCAGTTAACCTGTATATAGACTTCCAGTGAGTGCCCTATTTTCAGATCTGTGGCTGATACCTGCCTCACACGTACCTGGTACTTCGAGTACAGACGTATTTGTGCGGTGTGAAGGGCACATTGTTTTCCAAGTTGTCTGTAACTCCCACTGCAGGTTATAACTCTTCTCTAAGTAATTTATCTCCCGTCTACTTTCATCTTCTGTAAACACATTGAAATCTCTCATACGCTTTTATCACCTCCTCTATTAACTTTTTTTTTTTTTAAAGATTTTATTTTATTTATTTGACAGAGAGAGACACAGCGAGAGAGGGAACACAAGCAGGGGGAGTGGGAGAGGGAGAAGCAGGCTTCCTGCAGAGCAGGGAGCCCGATGTGGGGCTCGATCCCAGGACCCTGGGATCATGACCTGAGCCGAAGGCAGACGCTTAACGACTGAGCCACCCAGGCGCCCCTCTATTAACTTTTTAAAATTAGTACTTTATTTCCTTTCTGTCATTTTAGAAATGCTTTGGAAGGGAGAGGAAATAAACATCTGTGGGTAATCCACCATTTTTTTAATTCAAAGATTTCCCCAACAAGAGACTGGAGATTTATTCTCTGGAGAAATCAGATAAGGGAGATTCCAGACTCAAGAGATATCAGCAGTTTCAGTAAGCTTCTCAGCTGAGTCTGAGGCACATTAAAATATGAGAATCACTGGTTGAGAGCTTGAAAGTGTACAGGTTATACCAGGAATAAAGCCTTTGGCTGATTTTCAGGTATCCACTCTAAGTACTTTCTTATCTTTGGATTAAATTAGGTCTGTTTCCTTTTGACATCATTAGATCTGCCTTTTTCTCTGCTTTCTCTTGCTTCCTTCAGCATCCTTTTTTCATAAGCCAAAGAAAAAACCATAATAGTGAAGAAAGCCTCCATTCAGCAAATCTTGGTTGGTGCCCACACTGTGCCAAGCACGATGCTTGGCACATCGTATTGGGGCTACGATAATGAGTAAAATGGACACAGCTCCTTCTCTCAAGAAGTTTAGAGTCTCATTAACCCTTCCAGATGATTGCTTAACTTTAAATCATGTGTGGTGTTTAGGGAAGAATGCATTACTTATCTCACCGGGATAGACGAGACCACTATGAATAACAAAGACACTACCATTATTTGGGAAATTGTAAGAGTTTAGAAGTTTTCTCCCAGACCAGGAACCCAGGACAAAAACCAGACAAATTCTTTTTAACAGGCATACCTTGTTTTATTGTGCTTCACTTTATTGTGTTTCTCAGATACTGCATTTTTTTACAGATTGAAGGTTTTTGGCAACCCTGCCTCGAACAAGTCTGTTGGTGGCGTTTTTCCAACTGCATTTGCTCACTTCATATCTCTGTCATAGTTTGGTGACTTTTGCAATATTTCAAACTTTCTGATTATTATTATTATGTCTGTTATAGTGGTCTGTGATCAGTGATTAAGACTTATTGAAAGCTCAGATGATGATTAGTATGTTTTAGCAATAAAGTTTTTTTTTTCAGATTTATTTTTTAGAGAGAGTCGGGGAGGGGAGAAGGAGAGAGAGTCTTAAGCAGACTCCATGTTGAGTGTGGAGCCCAATTCGGGGCTCGATCTCATGGCCCTGAGATCATAACCTGAGCCCAAACTGAGAGCTGGATGCTTAACCCAACTGTGCCACCCAGGCACCCCAGCAATAAAATATTTTTTTAATTAAGAGATGTACATTGTTGGGACTGCCTGGGTGGCTCAGTCAGTTAAGTGCTTGCCTTCAGCTCGGGTCATGATCCCAGGCTCCTGGGATTGAGTCCTGCGTTGGGCTCCTTTCTCTGTGGGGAGCCTACTTCTCCCTCTGCCTGCTCTGCCTGTCACTCCCCCTGCTTGTGCGCACTCTCTCTGACAAATAAATAAAATCTTAAAAAAAAAAAGACATGTACATTGTTTTTTAGATATAATGCTATCACACACTTTATAGACTACAGTATAGTATAAACATAACTTTTACCTGCACTGGGACACCAAAAAATTCATTCGACCTGCTTTATTGTGATACTCGCTTTATTGCAGTAGTCTGGAACCAAACCTGCAGTGTCACCCAGGTATGCCTGTATATAGAAGTGTTACCAGTTTTTAAAAATTGCCCAAGGAGCCCTTCTTCCCTGCCCTTGATTGGAAAATTCAGGTGTGTTAACTCTGCAGTTTATGCCCTAATCTTAAATGGCAAAATTTGATCACCTTCCTGCCTTCATTGCAGTAGAACAACATTTACAGCCCTAAGGGCAGAGACAATGGTCACTTCAGAAAAAATGTGATGTTCAAGGTCCTAGAGGAGTCAGTGGAGACAGATTCTTGACACTTCTTTCCCTAGGTAAAGGGTCGTGATAAGCATATCAATAATTTGAAAAAGAAATGTCAGAAGGAATCAGAACAGAACCGGGAGAAGCAGCAGCGTATTGAGACCTTGGAGCGCTACTTGGCTGACCTGCCCACCCTGGAAGACCATCAGAAGCAGAGCCAGCAGGTAGCAGCAATGTCTGGGCGTACCTGGGGCAAGCAGAGAGTAACCAAGCAGGGGCACTTTCTCAGCCTTTGCTGTAAGCAGTTACACTCTGGTTTCCCGAAAGGAAAAACCCAAAGGAGTCATGTCCAGACTCAAATCTGTCAACTTTGCAACTGGACTGCAAAGTTTTTGAGATACTCAGTCTTCCTTGGCTTGTTGACCTAAGCATGGGATCCTGTCTCTCAGCTTAAGGATTCTGAGTTGAAGAGTACAGAGCTGCAGGAGAGAGTGACTGAGCTGGAGAGTTTGCTGGAGGAGACCCAGGCAGCCTGCAGAGAGAAGGAAGTTCAACTGGAAAGCCTGAGACAGAAAGGAGCAGAATTCTCCACTAGACATAGGTAAATACCCCAGTGTGATTGAGGAAAGGCGTAGAGAGCTAAGTGTGCCCCACTCACTACCTGTGTGACTTTGGGCAAATCACTCTACTTTTCTGAGCGTCATTTCTTTGGGATGTGAGTAATAGGAAAGCTGCTTATGGATAAGGAATAGGCCTTTGAGATGGAGAGTGGATGGTGTAGTGGTGCAGTGGGGGCTTGTTATTGTATCCTTTGGAAGGTCCAACTCAGTGCCTGGCATGGTAATACTGGATAATAATCCCTGAGTATGTATGTGTTGAATGAAGGGAGCCACTTTATAAACTGGGAAATTAGTTATCTGTATATTTGCAACAGCATATCCTGGTGTTAAGGACTGGGGAGGAAGGGGGTTATCTACATTTTGAACCTTGTAAGCTCAAGGCTACCAGGAACATCTATTTCTCTTCAGCCCTAGGGATTGTTCTCGGTGGTCACAACAGGTTCTAAGAACAAAGCAGGATGCCATAATGTACTCTCAGAGTGTCTTGAGAGTCTCTTCCATATTAATTGCAGTTTCTGAAAATGTGATGGCTGTGTTTCAACAGCCTCTTGAACCAAATCCAGTTTCTAATGGGTTGGATTGGATTTCTCATCCCATATTCAACCACAGTGACCCTGTTGTTTATCTCAGCGGATGAACCATGATGAAAGTGATTGTGGGGATCCATTGGAGGAGACCAGTGGTTGGAGTCAGAAGAGAGATTGGGGTCAAAGTTGACTCTGCCCCAGACTTTGTGTGCCAAGAAAAAAGCTTTTTTTTTGTATTTTCCAAAATTTCTGCAGTATACATGTATGAATTTTCTAATCTAAATACCTGTGATGAATGTTTATTTTTAAATATCAAAACAAATACAAAAGAGCTTTGGGCAGGTAGAAAATTGGTGGCACATTAGATAGATGCTGGCCTCTAGGGAAGGGAACTAACACTAGGCAGCCTGTGTGTGGCACACCCTATGTTACAACAGACCTAACATTGTCCCCAGCTACAGCTTGGAAGCACCTGAAGTGTCTTACCCCAAAATATACAGTAAATAATAGAACCAGGAGTCAAAGCCACATCTGTCTGACTTCAAAATTCTTGAAGAGGCCGCTGTTTTTCAGCCTGCAAGATAAGCAGTGTGTGGAGGAGGCCAGTGGAGAAGATCCAGCCCAACAGGGAGAAGGTCCAAAAGTGGAAATGGAGTCCTGGCAGAAAGAATGTGATTCCCTCCGAAAGGTGACTGAGAGTGTCCAGGCTGTAATAGAGGGCAGGCTGAGAGGAAAGAAAAGATTGTGTACTGAGAAGCAACCATGAATTTTTGGCCCTAGGCTACCTAAGGTCTGTTACCTAGAACCCTCCTCCCTTTTCTGAGAAGTCACCCCTGCATAATGTTTGCATTTTAGATATTTATCCTTATGACAGGCAGGCAGAGTTAGGGGAGGATATGCTTCTGAACATCCAAACTAGGTGTTCCAAAATGGTGCACTGAAGCTTGGTGCACTTCATTCATGGCTTAGGCGCCATACAGACCTCTTACACTGGGTAGAGTTCTAACCAGTGGGGTAGCCCTAATTCAGTAGAGAAGAAAGTCTCCAAATCTGTTGGTGAGACTGATGGCAAGTCAGCAAAACAGAAGACCCAGAAATGGTTCAGAGAATACCTGAGGTCTCAAAGGACAGAAAACTGGGCCTGTTCAGGTTCTCTCCTTAGACAGTGTGACCAAAGCTATAAATAATAGCATCCACCACAGCCCTGGATAGGATAGACTTCATTAAACTGAATTTTTAGTCATGTCCTTTACTAAAGAACTAAAATGTAAACTGGTTATGTATAAAGTTTATTCCACTGGCCCACAGTCATCAGGGTGGGTTCCCCCAGTAGTGGTCATAAGTCCACACTACATTCCTGTTTAAACCTCTTTGTCAGTAGAACACAGAAGTGTGCAGCTAGTTAGCTGGGATAGGGGGTCTGGGTTATATTTCTGTAAGCGGAGCTAATTGGTTTCACTGTGGATTGGCTATAGCCAGTGGGTCCAATAGCCAGACCACAGATCCTTGTGCAGCTTCTTGCCCTCTGACCTCACTGTCAGCCTGTGCTTACAGCCTTCCTTGATAACTTTGCCTTTCAGATTGTGGAGAAGCAACAGCAGAAGATGGATCAGCTGCGTTTACAAGTACAGGTGAGCTGCTGTCCTTGTCACATGGTAGGCAGGACTTGTTGGAATCTCTAGAATTCAGCCAACTCTATTCTGTGTCATACGATTTGCTCAGTTGTTGGGAGTATAGCAAGAATGAGATGCAATCAATGCTTTTCGCCTACAATCTTATTGGGAAGGAGTTTCAGCACAGTATTGTGAGAGCAATGTCCGTGTTACTTTGGGGGAGCATAGAAGAGTCAGTGAGAGCAGGGGAGGTTAAGGAAGGGTTTCTGGAGATCATGAGCCTGGAAGGAGGAGGAAGAGTTAGCCAGGCAAAGAAGAGCTGGATAGGTTGCTTTTGGAATTCCAGATAGAAGGAATAGCACTGGCAGGAACATGGAGGCATGAAACAGCAGAGTTTGCACACGGAGCTGCAAGCAGTCTGATGTCGAAGTAAGGTGGTACGTGGAAACTGGGCTAACTCCAACGGAGTTTGCTTTTATTCTTCTGCTAGGGGATGGGAATCTGCTATAAAGATTTATTTTGGAGAGAAAGCACGCACAAGCAGGGGGAGGGGCAGAGGGAGAGGGGGAGAGAGAATCTCAAGCAGACCTCCCCACTGAGTGTGGAGCCTGATGTGGGGCTCAATCCCAGGACCCTGAGATCAATGCCCTGAGCTGAAATCCAGAGCCAGATGCTTAACTGACTGAGCCACCCATGGGAATCTACTATAGAATTTAATTGGGAGTGATGTGGTTAGGTCTGCAACTCAGGCTTGAGTGTGGAAAGAAGAGTGGCATTTGGAGAGAGGCGAGGCTGGAGGCTGGTGGACTACTGCAGAAATCCTGGTGAGAGATGATGGAGGAACCTGGCATAAGGCAGCATAGCAAGGAGGAGACGTGAGGGAACAGATTTAAGTGAATTTTAGGAGGTAAAGTTGAGAGGAATCAGTGACTGACAAGATGTAGGGAGTTGAGGAATAAGGAAAAAATAAAGATGACTCCTGGTTTCTATTTTGGGCCAGAGTGTGTGTGTATGTGTGTGTGTGTGTGTGGGGGGGTCCTTAATTGGGTTCTCCAAGAAATCCTAAGCAAAGCAGGTTCACTCAGGTTCTCTTTGGACTCCAAAAGAGTTTTCACACCAAAACAAGTGAAATGCACTTACTCTGAGAACAGCTCAAAGCTGCAGTTCTGCCTTTGCCCTATCATGTGGGTCAGGCTGTGTCTGTCTGGGTCCCCTGTTTCAAGTCCTGTAAGGAGAGTTAAGCCTAGTGAATTGTTTATACCCATTTAAAATCCCAGATTCTTGGGGCGCCTGGGTGGCTCAGTCGTTAAGCGTCTGCCTTCGGCTCAGGTCATGATCCCAGGGTTCTGGGATCGAGCCCCACATCGGGCTCCCTGCTCTGTGGGAAGCTTGCTTCTCCTTCTCCTACTCCCCCTGCTTGTGTTCCCTCTCTCACTGTGTCTCTCTCTGTCAAATAAATAAATAAAATCTTTAAAAAAAATAAAAATAAAAATAAAATCCCAGATTCTTGGTAGAGTTTTTAATGGATCTCAGATACATTTCCTGGAACCCACAGGTTCCACAAAGGTTGAAAAAGCCCAACATTTAAGTGGTACATTTACCCATGATGAAACTCCTCAGGCAAATTAAAGTATCAGGTGAATTTGCTGGAATTGGGTAGATTCACAATGGTCACCTAGGGTATTTCATGGTGATGAGATGTTCTCTTTTGGAAGTTACATTTTTTTATTAATACAAAATGGAAAATTCAGAAAATTTTTAAATACTTGATTCAAATAAGTTTCAAATTTGGGGGAAGGGATTGGAATGAATAGAATGAGAGGCAAAAAATAGCAAACATAAAAAGCTCCCTCTCCCTGACCATCCCTACACACACACACACACACACACACACACACACATACACACACCTTTTCCCCCTCCCTCCCTCCTAACTAGATTAGGTGCCTGTGGGAGAGCTATCCTACCTTTTATCTCTGTCAGAAGCATTTACAGTATTCTCAAGGGCTTTGGCTGTGAGCTCCTCAAAGACAGGTATTGTTTGGTATTGTCAGTATCCTCAGTGTGTGTCACAGTAAGTGCTCAGTAAATACTGAACTCAACTGAGTGGACATTCCCTGCCCTCAAGAAAGTTAATGGAGGGGGGAGTCATGTGCACAGCCAACAAATGTACTCATGAACCGTGACGGAAGTATGAGTAGCAGGGCGAGAGTACGATTAATAGGATCTGATTTGCAGATTGAGGAAGGCTCAGGTGGGCCTTGAAGAATTCCTGGGTGACGGGCAGAGCAGAAGAGTAGCCTGGGCACAGGGGAAGGAGAGTACGCAACAGCATTGGAGCTGGAGCCTTTGGGAATGAGGGCTCTTCAGTCATTTGGTGTGACTGGAGTGGAGGCTGTGTGGAAGATAAAAAGAGATATGGCTAGAAAAGTAGGTAAGGGCCAAACTGGCCTGAAATGCCCTGCCGAGAAGCTGGCCTCTAGTGGGTACATGGTCAGTGACTTATAGGAGGGTTTCAAAGGGAAGTAGCAGATCAGGGCTGTCCTAAGATAATCTCTTAGCAGTGTGTGGTGGGGTGGGGCTTTATTATGTAGTCCAGGCCAGAGGTGATGCAGTCTGAACCAGATTTGTTACTCATGTGTAATCATACCATTCAGAGCCTAGAGCAAGAAGTGGCTCAGGAAGAAGGAACAAGCCAGGCCCTGAAAGAGGAGGCCCAGCGGAGGGAGACAGCTCTGCAGCAGCTGCGTACAGCCGTGAAGGAGGTGAGCGGCATCAGCTGGGCTTCTCAATACTGCCTCCACAAACTTGATTGTTCTGTGAACCCTCCCCATCCCTACTGCCACAAGAGCCCTCATGTTTGAGACATCCCTGCTGAGCTTTTTTGGCAGAAGAATGGGAAGGGACATTGCACCATCCTTTATATTAAAGGTCCTAAGCCCATCTTAGAGTGGCCATGATTACCCAGGAATGCTTTTGGGATGTGAGAAGTCAGTTTCTCTCCCTTTGTCTTCCTGTAGCCACAGGTTTGTGGGGCTGGGGAGGAAGGGTTCAAGAAGACTGAGAGCTTGGTGGTCCTCATGTAATAAACAGAGCTGTCAGCAAGGGGTGACCAAGTTCACTGACCTAGGAAGGAGTCTCTCAGAGCTGGGATTGTCACATGGCCCAGTGTAGGTGAAGGGCTGGGACTGGAGAAGCAACTGTATTCCGTGTCTTTAAATTGGAATCGAGGTAGGAAGGGGAGAATGGGTTAAGCTGTTCAGGGAGAGGGAGGGAAGGAGACACAGACATACCTGAGTAGCCGGTCTTTGTAGGAGAAGCCTGACACCACTGAGGTGAAGGTGTGAAAAGACAGGCAGGACACATTCTAGCACTGTGTTCTCCAGGTTCCTAGTTCTCGAGAGCATGTTAGTGAGTGCTCATGTTAGTGAGTGCCCCACCCAGTGGCTGGCTGCTAGCTGTATTGTGCACTGTCTTTCTTGCCCCCTTTATTCCTCTCACACGCTCTGATCAGGCTGGCTGGTGGCCACTTTTGTCAGGGTGGCAGGGAGAGATTGAAACCAGTGTCTCCTCAGATTTCACAGTTCACGTTAAGCCTTCTCTAATAGCCTGGTTAACAGAGTTGGCTGAGGGACTGGCTTCAGATAGAGTTCCGAGGGGCAGGAGTATCATCTCTGGTTCCTGAACAGAAACCTGCAGGCTGATGACTCAGAGTCTGCTGGGGAGTGGTTTCCTCTCCAGTGCTGGAACCCTACGGGCCCGATCTACCTGCGGGAGAATTTAGGCCCAATATTGACAGTGGGGGGAGTACTAAGCCTGGTGGTAGGGGTGGCGGCGGCGGGGGGAGGGGTTGATATCACCTATGACTCATATATATCCACACACAGGTACAGATATTCTGCCCTTCCCTGGGCCTGGGTTAATGTGTTTGCCCATCTGTCTGCTCAGCTTTCAGTGCAGAACCAGGACCTGATTGAGAAGAATCTGACACTCCAGGAACACCTGCGCCAGGCCCAACCAGGGTCCCCGTCTTCACCAGACACAGCCCAGCTGGCATTTGAGCTGCACCAGGAGTTGGCCAGTTGCCTTCAAGATCTGCAGGCTGTCTGTAGCATTGTGACCCAGAGGGCCCAGGGCCATGACCCCAATCTCTCCCTGCTCCTGGGCATTCACTGTGAGTTCTCAGGCCAGTCTGGGACCCAGGAGAGAGTGGTTCTCATTCTCTTGTCACCCCCACCCAACTTTCCCATCCTTACGGTAATGTGTGAACAAGGCTTTGTAGGCCTGGTCACTGCCCCCCTGGGAGTTTATGTGTTTAGCAAAGTAGACAGTAAATCTGCTTTGGAAACAGGCATCCTTGTGGGTACCTGAATGCAGGATGAACAGAAAATGGTCCTGAGGCAGCAAGTTTTCAGCTCAGGTCTTGATCTCAGTCAGGGTCGTGCATTCAAGCTCTGCATTGGGCTCCATGCTGGGCATGGAGCCTACTTAAACAAAGCAACGTGCCATGTCCCCAGAACATGGGCCTTAAAGAGCTACTTATCCATCCTGCCCCCTCCACATGAAAGCATCTCCTAACTGACTCACTAACATGCTCTCGAAATGCTCTCCTACTCAGCTGCACAGCACCCGGGGACTCAGCTGGATTTGCAAAAGCCGGATGTGATCAAGAGGAAACTAGAAGAGGTTCAACAGCTGCGCCGTGACATCGAGGACTTAAGGACCACCATGTCAGACAGATATGCCCAGGATATGGGAGAAAACTGTGTCACACAGTGAGGAATGCCAGGGGTGGCACACGCTCTGTTCCCCCAGGGAAGATCTGCTCTGCTGAGTGCCCAGTCTGGCAGGTCCTGCCCTGACAATCTCTTGCCTCCTGTCTGCTGCTATTCCCAGAGCGAAGGGGTGGAGGGGGTTAAGAACCTGCATCTGGGGCCAAGGGCTGATTAAGGAACTGTGCCTGCTCTGTCCCACACTGGTTTTGCCTTGTTGGATTGCATTTGTCCTGTCATCCTGATTTACCCTTTGAAGGTGAGTTACTAATTAACTTCTGCAGGTTGACTGGTAAGTCCTCACAGATTGTTCCAGCCCCAGGCTGATGTCAGAGGTAAACAGGCTGCTCAGTTCCCTTTTCCATCCTTTTGGTTGGATCCACATTCATTCCCACTCCATACCTTGGTCCTGCTGATGCCCAGAGTTCAGTAGAAGGGCCTGGAAAGGATGAGTACCAGACACGATGGCCATGTGAGAATTCTCAGGCCAATAGGCCAGCCTCCCTGGGATCTGAGCTGGCTTTCTTGGGTATTCTTAGGCTTGGTCCCACTGCTGCTTTCTCAGGGCTCTTGTTCTCACAGACGCCTCAGGGTGATCTGTTTATTAGCAAAGTACTAGAATTGGCCTAAGGATTATATCCAAGCCTCCCTCTGTGCTGTCATGCCATTTTACAGGATGCTCCACTCTCCAGCTGCCCTGTCCCTTGGGGCCCTGGCCACATGATTAGCACAGCTCCCTTCTCTTTTGTTCTCAGGCCATTCAGGTAGCCCCCTTGTAAACTCCTCTTTATGGTTCTGGATTTGGGTAGGATTTTCCCCTAGAATACCACAGGGCAACTGCCAGGCTGCTCACCTCCTCCTCCTGGGGCTAAGGGATGGCATCCAGCCCTGACTGTGCCTCTTTTTTGTTTGGGGGCAGGTCCTTTCCCTTTCTTGCTCTGGGGCTTCTTGAGTTCAGAGTACCCAGTATAGTTTGGCTCTAAGGTATAGCTTTCTTTATTTGCTGGGTTTTGTTTGGAGCCTTTGGATCCTATGCTTTCTGGTTTCTCTTGCCTCCTCATTTAGGGAGCATCTCAAACACAATTGTTTGTATCTGGTTGTTGGGCTGGCCCCAGGCCTCCACTAGATCTGGAGTGAGGCCAAGCCAGGGCCTTGTAAGGGTATGCAGGAGCACTGAGCAGTTCAGGAGCCAGCCACTATGAGTTTGTTGGTAAGTTTTGAGCCGTCAGAAAAGTATCCTGAACCTCACTCTTGGGTCTGAATGAGACTCCTTAAGTGTTTTTACAATTTTGTGTCTTATTTATGGAGTGATGTATCCCTTCCATTCAGAACAGCCCCACCCAGCCATCCCCTCAGCCTCTGGGCTCCTTCCTGCCTCCTAAAAGCAGAGCTGCCTGGTTGGTCTCCACCCTATGTTGGGAGCCCAGCCACCATGCTCACGGGTATTTTTCCTCAAAGTTTATAAGCAGTTATTTATATGAATCCTTGTTATGTCAACTGGTTTGTATTGCCTATTTTGATTACAAAATAAAACATTTAACAAACTCCTCAGTTTTCCATCACCATCATCACCATCCCTTACTCCACCCCTCATTTTGGCTTGTTGGAGCCAAAGCCTGGGTGTTTAGCCAAGTTCCCCGGATGGCAGCAAGGAGGGACCTTTGGCAGGTCCAGCCTCACGTCTGTATTTCTACTTCTGCTCCTCTGTTCTCTGTAGGGACAAGTATCTCTTCCCACACCACTTTCTATTGGGTGAAGCTGCCCTGAGTCATTGAGCAAGTCTCATTGGAAAGAGTTTCAGTAATCTTCTGAGAGGAAGTAGCTGCCTCTAGGTTGCTGTGAGGAAGTGGCTTCTCAGGAGCCAAGCAGGGCCTGTTTGCCTTAGGGAGCTGGGGTTCTTTTCCTGGGCTGCTATTCGACCCTGGACTTGGGGAGAACTTGTGAGGGGAGTCATGTCCAACCCCAGACAGCCAGCCACGCCTCCAAATTTGGGCTGGTTGTTAGAGTCCGCTCCCTCTGAACCCCCTAGATTTTTTTCTGGGACCAGGAGCAGCTTTAGAATGCCATCTGGGATTGAGGTTGAGCTAGGGCCACCCTAAGACCGTGTGTGGATCTTTAACAAGGGTGGGCCAGGCTCTGCCTCCACCCTTTCTAGAGCTAGCAGCCTCTTACCTTGGTCTGCATCTGGTGCCTTGATGGTGTGGCCCTGTCTCTGGCCACCACCCTTCCTTGTCTCAACCTGCCTTAGTGGAGAGGAACTTTTGGGGAAATCAGCAGGGGCTGTCCCTGCTTTGGTGTGCCAAGGGGTTAGCCAGGTGTGAGGGTCACGTGGGGGGCTGTAGAAAGGGGTCCCTTGGAGTGAGGTTCCCTAGCCAACGAACTGTAGGTTTCAAAACAGCCCAAGCCTTCAAAGCTCAGAGCTGCGCTGCGCAATCGTGGCACGAGGGGTGGGTAGTTGGGTGCAGCAAACCCCGGGGGAGGCTGAGGAGGCGGCCTTTGCCACACCGTCACCCCTGCTCTCCCTGGCCTTTCTGGCCACCCTGGCCCCTGCCCAGCCTCACACTGAGGCCCAGATCTGGGAAGGGCCGAAGAGGGCGGCCTCGCGCGGCGCTGGGGTCCTCTGCGCGCCCGGCCACTGAGGGGGGAGGGGAGGGGGCCAGCGGTGCGCAGGGCGGGGTCGCGCAGGCTCCGCCCCAGCCGCACGCCTGCCCGCGCCGCCCATTGGTCCCGAGAGCGGTGACTCGCGGGCTGAGCAGGAAGGAAACCGCTCCCGAGCGCGGCGGCGGCGTCTCCAGGCCGTGCAGCTGCCGCTACAGCCGTCCGTCCGCCTGTCGGCTCGCCCGTCCAGCCACAGCATGAGCGGCCTGCGCGTCTACAGCACGTCGGTCACCGGCTCCCGTGAAGTGAGTGCACACCCAGGCCGCGCTGGGGTGGGGTGAGAGCGCGGGCGGCGGTGTCTGGGCGCTACGGCCCGGCGCCCGAGACCCACCCCCACCACCCCAAGGGCGGGGGCGGGACGGGGGTGGGGTGGGAAGGGCGACGGGATGCCGGGCTTGGCTTCCCGGGTCGGGTCCCAAGGTGGGCTCCGAGGCTCAAACCCCTCCTTTGGGCATCCTGGATCCTTCGCAGCCCCAGCACAAGCTGCCCACGCCCATCCCGTCGCTCAAGCACGCACTCTGCAACCCCCCTACCACTCCGAGCCGGTCTTGAGTGTGCCCTTCCTCTCCTCCACTTTGTGTGTACCTGGGCGGGGGTGGCCCCTTACCAGCCTCCACCCAAGCCTGCCCTGCCTTCCCCTCGCTGAGCTCCTGGTTCTCCCCCCACCCCCAAACTTTATCCCACTTCCCTTCTTCGTTCTGACTCCCCTCCGCATGGTGGTCCCTCTCATCCTGCACCACCGCAAGCCTGACTCATCCTCCTAACTCCCTAGTGGCCAGAACCCTGGCCCAGGGTGTGGAGGGAGACAAAAACTACTGGCCACAGTCCCTTTCTTTCTGCCCAGGGTTCCCCCATGAATCCTCCAGCCTGCTCACTAACCCCTGCCCGCCCTCTACCCCCAGATCAAGTCCCAGCAGAACGAGGTGACCCGCATCCTGGATGGGAAGCGCATCCAGTACCAGCTAGTGGACATCTCCCAGGACAACGCCCTGCGGGATGAGATGCGAACCTTGGCAGGCAACCCCAAGGCCACCCCACCCCAGATTGTCAACGGGGACCAGTACTGTGGGGTATGGGCCCTGGGGGTTGGGAGTGGGGAAGTGTAGGAGGACTTCTCCTGAGTCAGAAGTCAGAGTCAGACCTGAGACAAAACACCAGCACTCAGGTGACCATCTCTCCCCTCCCCTCCCCTAGGACTATGAGCTCTTCGTGGAGGCTGTGGAACAAAACACGCTGCAGGAGTTCCTGAAACTGGCTTGAGCCCACTGGACTCCACCACCACATTTCCCCCAGCCACCGCCCGGCCATGAAGGACCTTAGGACCAACTCCCTGTTATTCCTAACCTTCTGACCTTGGAATCGCTCCCCCCCCCTCCACCGCAACCCAAGCCCCTTCTCCTGCCCTCTCCTCTGTTCAAAGGCAACGTTCCTTACCCACTAGTTTCAGAAATTGTCTTAAGCAACAGCCCAGGTGCTGGCTGTCCTCAGCCAGGCCCTGAGGCTGCCACCCTGCCTGGCACTGGCTGATGGGTGCCTTTGTTGGTTCCATTAGCCAGGGCTCTGCCAAAGGCCCCGCATTCCCCGTCCTGGGAGCACCCTAGAGACAATTAAATGTCCCATTCCATTGATGCCGTGTCTGTTTGGTATGACCTGGGCCCTTGCTTGTGCTGAGGCTCTGCTCCTGTGGGCAGGTCGGTTGAGCGGTCTTCTGCGTGGCAACTGTGTGTGTGATTGTGTACGTATGTGGGTGTATGTCTGGCACGTGCATTACTGTGTGGACCTGCATTTCTGGGAACAATGTGGGTGGGTCACCTCCTGATTCACACGCATGTGATAGTGTCCTGACACGCCCCGCTTGGTGAGTCTGGCACATCTGTATGCCAGTCGGTAATGTGTCTAGGCCATGTGGCCGCCTGCCCGTGTTTCAGCAGACCGGCTCAAAGTGTGTGTCATGGCAGTGGGTTCACAGCTGCAGTTCTGCCAGTTTGGGGACAGTGGCTTTGTGCAGAAAGTTGAGGAAGTGTCCCCATGTGCTGTGGTTCTGTGCCTATCTGTGCACAGGGGATCTGCCGGTGGCACACTTGCACGGGAGGTTCTTCCACACCAGCTGAGGCTGGGCTAGAGCCCGCCTTCCCTCCACTGGATCTGTTTAGCCCTTGTGGGGAGAAAGAGGAACCTAGAGGACAAAGACCCAGCAGCCAGGGCCGCCAGCTGGGGCTCGAGTTACAGAGGGGGGCGGGTCGGCACCGCCCCCTCCCTGGCCCAGCTGGGCCCCCGGGCCTTCCCTGGCGTCCAGCTGGGCTGCCCCGCCAAGAGAGCCTCACGGAGCAGCCTGTGTGGGAGCGGGCG